GTCCGGTAAAGTCGTTCACTTCATGTCACGAAAAGAAAACAAATAGAAAAAGAGGAACAGCACAAATAACTGACCTTCTCGTACCGCCGATAAAGTTGCTGTGATTGGCTATTTTCCATCGATATAATTAAATCATTTACTAAATCCACAAGCTCAGAAAAACTTGGTCGACAATTTGGGTCGGCATGCCAACATGGAAGCATAATTTGGTTATACCTGCAAAGAACCAGCGAGAAATCAAACTCTAATGAAAAATGTCAAAAAAAATTAGAACCCACGAGAAATCAAACTCTAATGAAAAATGACGGAAAAAAATAGCAAAATAACTTGGTGATGAGAATATCAACAAAATTTTTCCCACTCTGTTATACTTAATTTGCAACATGATAAAATGCAAAATTCACTACTCTTGTAAGGAGAACAGACTGCTAAAGATTCATCGAGCTGTCTGAACCAGCTCCTATCTCCCGAGAGCAGTTTCCAGTTTATCAGTAGGGCCTGTTCGAATTCAAAGTTGGTGTAGAAACAATATTTCAATTTCATGAGTGTCCAATTAAATTGAGTGTGCGCTCCTTCTGTGGCTTGAAAGTGCGTGGCAAAGGCCCTAACAGCTCGCTCGGACCCGCAATCCACACCTTCGTCCGCAAGCCCCGCCTTCGCTGTCGGTTGCCACGTGACGCTGCTTGAAAAGCGCGGGCAGTTGCGGCAGCGGTTGCATTGCGATTCAATGTCATTGGCACTGGAGCAACTGGAGCTAGGTTCGTGAAACTCGTCCAACACGCCCCTTCTCTATCCCAAGGTGGAATGCGGCTGAAATAGAGGAGGTCCTTATTCGGGCGTAATCGGGGTTTCGTTTGCTTTCTTTTTCTTTTCCAGACCACCCCCACCTCCAGCTTCATAGTGAACGCTTTCCACACCTATTTTATCTCGAGGCTTGCCTTTAAGATGACTACAAACCATAAGGAGCGCTGATTACTTCGAAAAGGACCTTCAGAACAATCACTTCGATATCATTTCGCACTACACCCTGCTCCGAATAAATACATATCCACCTTGAGCCGTGCTTTGAACCAGCCCAACTGGTTGACCCAACGTGCCAGAACCATAACCAACTGTTACAAAAACTCCGTCGCCTTCAATGTTTGGTTCGTCACATGATAAAAGGGACCTCCAATATGCACATAAGATCTCAAGTATTCACTGCTTCGTGTGCATCCCATTTTTCCTATTCCTCTTTCCTGATGCCCCATATACGCTCCACGGAACGAGCATCGAATACTCCAGCTACGTGTGCATACACTGCGCCGCATAGTGATACTCCCACCTGCGAATTTCCCAAAAACTAGCATCTAAAGATGTTTTCGAAAAAGGCTCTAGGGAGGAATTGTGATACATATAAACGCAGCTGGTTATCACATCGAGTTTGAGGAACAACATTTTTTCTTTTTGTTTTTATTGAAATACTGGATCATACCTGCTGCAAGATCGTACTTACCACCACAGTTATCCACGCATTGTTTATTATCTTTTCTTCTTCTTCTATTCGTTTAATATTTGAAAATTGTTATCCGTTCTCTAGTCTTCAGGTTACGGTCAGAGCGAAACCGCTGTAAGACTTGCGTGAAGTGAAAAACCTAGCAGAGGAGGCCTAGGAATTGATCGAAGTGTCAGTTCACGCTAGAATTTGTCGGAGTCACTTCATAACGAACAAATTCTCTCGAGGATGCTACAAAATATGATACTGTGAAGAACCTTGATTACTATCTGACCGAGATAAGCGCCGTATCATAACAAAAATAATACAACTTTATCCAGCCGGGTACGGAAATCAAAACCTTCTCTAAAAGTTAGTGTCTCAATGAACGCAGTTCAAACTAGTCTTTCAAAAGATCATGATAGCTCATGTCGAGCGAAATAAGAAATACACTTGGGCAAAAAATGGCACGAGAAACAAACGTGCCATTTTCTTAGAAGTGTCGGCTAAGTCTTACGTGAGATGTTGAGACTCATGCATTTGTCATTTTTTGACTCGACTCTTCTTCTCTGGTCGTATAACTTCGTATAATGTATGCTATACGAAGTTATTAACACGTGTGGAGAAGGAAAAGATCAGAGCAAAATGGCTTGTTTTTGTATGATTCCTTTTCACAAAAATATCATGCTTATTTAGCAAAGATCATGAGCAGGACTATCATAAGTCTTTTGGAAAACGTTAAACTGCGTCCATTGAGACATTAACTTTTGAAGAAGTTTTGATTTCCGTATGCTGGATAAAGTTGTATTATTTTCTCACGATACGGCGCTTATCGGTCGGATAGTAATCAGGGTTCTTCCCAGTATCATATCCTGTAGCATCCTTGAGAAATTGTTCGTTATGAAGTCACCCCGACAAATTCCAGCGTGAGCTGACACTTCGACAATTCCTGCGTCTCTTTTGCTAGGATTTTCCTTTTACGGAAGTCTGACAGCGGTTTTGCCTTTGCTATAAGCTAAGGAACTTGAAGGGTAATAATTTCAAAATTTGATTGGGTAAAAGCAAAATGCAGCGGAGAAACATGTGGTGGAACTATGATTTTGCGTCATAGGCAGAGCGAGTATTTTCAAAAAAAATTAAAAAATGTTGCTCCCTCAAACTTTAACTCAGTGTTGATATTCAAAACTGCATTTAGTATCATTGTGCGGAGCAGCGTACCTCAGCGGGAGATCACCATGGAGTGATCTCAGTGCTGAGCTAAAAAAATTTCTAAAGGACTAGTGACGAAGGCGAAAAACAACCGGCTGCAACGCCACCTTTCGATTCTGCAGTCGTTCCATCTTCAACGCATTGACGACAGCAAGATGCTCATGCATAGCACATTGGAGACCGAAAGAGACAGTACGATGCGCCTCATCTATTGTTTTGCACATGTACAATTTCTTCCCTGGTTTTTTGCATTTGTTATCTGGACCACACCACAGCATGACTATTAACGACGTGCTCCACCAAATGCACAGATAGCTCCTTTAACACGTTGATGACACCTAGCCAATCCCCTCTTACAAGGGAAGGATACCAGGTCGAAGTGGCCATTTGTAACGAGACATACACCACTAGATGTGTTTTTGGACGCTGATCTCGAATCTGCTCTCCAAATCTGCGGAAACGATTCTCTGAACGTAGTTATGAAGCGAGATAGTGCAGTGGCAGCGGCCCGGGCCGACGAGCAAGAGGTCGTGAGATCGACTTCTTGGCGAGTTCTCAGCTGCTTTTCTTGAAAACATTGTTCAAAGGACTCTTATGCATGCTAAATCATCAGCGACTGCCTATCCTATAAGTGGGAAGAGCTGGCAAAGAGCTTCGAACACTGTGCGCGTCATTTGCCGTGTCCTGTCGGTCGTTGTGCCCACATTTTCGACTTTAGGTCAAAATTTTTGGATTTGGACCAAAAGTTGTCGGAAGGGGTAGTTTGATGCGCTGAACACGAAATTCACGCGCACTTGGCAGGAAAATGCATGACGCATGCGCTACGGGGCCGTACGGTCAATTCGCGTCAGATACGCGCACAGTGTCCGAACCACTTCGCGAGCTCTTTCCACCTGTATGATAGGCAATCCCTGATGACTTAGCATGGATGAAAGTCCTTTAAACAATGTTTCAAGAAAAGCAAAAGTGAGAACTCGCCAAGAATTCGATCTCGCGACCTCTTGCTCCGTCGGCCCGGCCGCTGCCACTGCACTATCTCGCTTCATAACTACGTTCAGAAATCGTTTCGCAGATTTGGAGAGCAGATTCGAGATCAGCGTCCAAAAACACATCTAGTGGTGTATGTCTCGTTACAAATGGCCACTTCGACCTGGTATCCTTCCCTTGTAGAAGAAGACAAAAGAAATCAAAAAATTCGTGCCCTCGAAGGGCCAATGTTAAGTGTTGGCAGTTCTCGAATTCTCAAAACAGTTTTAGCGGTGAATAGCGCCGATAAAGTCAGTAAAAAGGTTTTCATGGAAATGTTCAATTTTGGCCGATGTACTTTGTTTTGAATTACAGTAGTTCTTGTATTTCATCTTTGTCCCATACTTTCATGGTATCCATTTTCCTAGGAGTTACACATAAATATAAAGCATTCGTCTATCTACCCATAAACGAGCTCGTAGGCAATTAAAATTATTAAATATGTTCTTAAAGAGAAGTAAGTCTCCATGAGAAATTAGAGTTCCTAATAGAGTTGCTATTTAATTAAATTTGCAGAGAAAAGCTAACGACATTGATCACTATGTCTACAACGAAAAAAAAAACTAACAATTGAGCTGGACAATACTCGGGCATTTCCAGTCGCTTTTCACTTCGCAGAATTCGAGATCCTCAAAGCTCTTTTTGCCACTATACGGCGTCAATCCACGAGTAGTCAGCTCCCAAAGTACGACACCATAAGCCCATACATCATTTTGGAATGTGAACTGGAAAGTGAACTATCAAATTGTGCTTCAGAATGACAAACCATCTTGGATTAATTGATACAGTAATGTGCCAACTGGAGATAAAAGTAAATTTTGCATGATGTTACTGTCAAGTCTCATAGCTCTATGAAATTTGGGTCATACATCAAAGGATCTGGTACAATTCAAGACAGAGGTTAGCAAGACAATTACAAATTGGACGAACATTAAAAGAATTCCATTCGAAAAACAGTGACTACACTTGAATTCACCGCAAGACGACCACCGCAAGAATTTTGAAGGCGATCACCAATTCGTTATAATTTTCAAAATACTTACAATTGTACTGATGAGAGTTCTGTCGCCCCTGGCAATGCAACTAGAGGGGCAAAATTCTCGCAAAATTGTGTTATGTCTCGAGACTGCGACAATTGATTGACAGTTATGTCATGTGACGTGCTGCATCAGGGTAAACCGTGACGTTCGCACTTTTTCAAAAACTTCGCGACACCCCTCTTTCAGGGGGGTGTCTCGATGGGACCCTCCACCACCACCATGAGACTCAGGAGCTCTCTAAGACGACCGCCTTCTCCCTACCTCGACCACCATCCCACCATGTTCCTATAGTATCTGATTCTGATACCAGTCGACAAAACACAACTCCGCCCACTTCTCCTTCCAAAACGGACGTCAAGAGGGGGGGGCTGTTATAAGTGCAATGGAGTGCAATAGAACATCCAATATTCTCGCTTCCCACCTATCCACACTATGCGCACCAATTCCACCCATCAAACCCCTCAAAAAAAAATATACGATTTGTCTAAGATCATCGGCTCACAATTCTTCCACACCAAATAATACGAACCCCATCTCAAACCCCTGACGGCGGACCCCTCCTTCCAAAACAACCACAACATGTGACCCCCGCTCCGTTCGAGATAATGCGAACCACGTGTCGACCTGGCTGCAATGCATCGCACAAACGTATACTGCACTGTTTTGATGAGATTTGTGTCGGGGCAACGGGCAGGCAAAATCATTCGCCGGATATCCTCTCGTTTCAGGGGGTCCTCTCTTAGCTGTTCAGTGCGGCCGCACATTGCACTGTAAAAAATGATGGGAAGCCGATAGATGTATCCAATAAGACACGTCGTTGTGAATGAGTACATACACCACAACACGCCAACAGGGTAAGGTCTGGATGGCAGCACACTCGCAAATGTGCTCCTCATGACATCAAGATCACCATGTGTCCTGGGTGTAGTAGCTGCCCTCTCCTTGCCGAAAGAGGGTGTATCCGGAACCTTTTTCACTTTGAGGCTCTTATCTGAGAAGAGCAAGCGATGCCTCTCCTTATTGATCTGGTCCCAATCATCATTGCAAACGATTTCGACTAATTTCTTTTCTTCTGTTTCCATCCAGAAAGAGGCAGTGCCGTTACTACATTCTCAATCACTCCTTTAATACAAGAGTATATAGTACCGACAATTCAACAAAGTATATGTACCTTTTCGGAAATTATCGTTTCTGGTGCCATCCATGGAAATGGAACGTCTCTATGTTTTTGAGACGGCACATAGGCCTCGTCTTCGTCGCTTACCCGTCGGCAAAGTCCAAAATCACCAATCTTTATGTTCAGATCAGCGTCCAACCTGGAAACATATAATATGCAGGGCAATAGGGATGAGGCAAAATTATTGCTGGATTTTCGAAAACGAATTTTCATGACCCAAGCAAACTGCACCAAGAAATAATAAACAACGACTCAATGCCCACATGCAATTCCTTGCAGCCAGATCACAATGAACAGATCTGCAAATGTGCAGGTGGTTCATACCCTCTGCGATTTGGCATGCAAAACGTAGAAGACTTCGTAGAGTGATGATCTGAAAATTCAAACACAAATAGGGAAAAGCGATATAATAGCTCACTTCACAGGAAAACATCATGCTAGCCTATCAGTGATCGCCACTGCTACATTCCAATTATACCTCAGAATAAACAGATTTACAAAGGTCAGAGCATCAACTCTACGTCTACAAGCAGTACATTTATGTAAACCACAACCTGACAAATTTTCTGCATAGCGGCGTCCGTTCAAAAGGTGATTTGTGCACCAAGACAAATTTCACATTCGCAAAAAAAGTTTTCGGCAATGACCGTGTCCTATTTAGAATGCGCTTCGAAATCTTCTTCCATCCACAACCGTCACACCATTGGAATGCGACAGCGCCTCGCGGGAAAACGCGCCGCTACCATGCAAACGGTCTAGGGATCAAATCTCAGCTTGAACCCCGCGAAGGCCAACAGCTTGTGAGGGGGAGCCGTTCACACTCAGTGCTTTTATCGAGTGTTGCCCCCTTAACGATCTTAGGGCAACCGCGAGATTCTATTCGAGATATGATCCCAAACCATTCCCATGGCACGCCGCGCGTTTTGTCCCTACACCACCTTTGCCTCATAATGTTCACTTCATCAACAGTTTCCGAGAGGAATAGTCCCGAGAGGAATTTCCGAAAAATTCGCTTATCGATAAGAGGAGACCAGATTCGAGGGCCCCATTTTTGTGTGTACGTTTGATTCATGAAAGAGATTCGTCTGTAACAGTGGCAAAACGAACCACCTCTCCTTGTTACATACTCCCATTACCTACATCTATCGTTTTCTTATTTTCTGATGGACAAAAATCGGGACGAGTTAAAGCGCAATTTGCAGAGAAAAGTACGGGTCCTCACTGTTCTGCGCTGAGTTTTGTCTCGATTTGATTAATAATTATGTTTCTATGCACTACAAGGTGCTGTTTTCTAATTCACTTGAATAACAATCCAAAATTTAACTTTTTGGGAATTGAGAAGACAGGATGAGTGTCACCTAGGAACTAACTTTTCAAGCAGTTTGGCCAACTACAATATTTCTCATTCCATCTGCTACCAAAATGATAAATTAATTAGAAATTGCAAACATTGATGAAACAGCTGCTAACAGCGGGCGAAATTTTACAATTCAAATTTTTGGAAGTCACACACAATGAACAAATTCAATAACTAATTAGGAGTACCGGGCGGACAGTGGTGCAGTGACAAGTGGCGCGCTCACACGAGCGGTCCGGGATCAATTCCTGGGTCGTGAGTCGCCCGGGCCAACCAAGCCTTCCATCCCTCCGGGGTCGGTTAATTGGTACCAGACTTGTCTGGGAGGATAAAAAACACTGACTTGAACATCGGCTGGCCCCCGCAAGTCATTGTATAGGCCACATCGCATTCAAATGCCACTGCGAATGTACAAATGGAAGTAGAATGCGTGCCGCATCCCAAAACGGGATTGATCAACGGCAAATGCTTTATCCTTTATCCTTTATTAAGAAATTTAAGCACGAAGATATTATATGTTAGAATGAAAGATTATCAAATGTTATTAGTGCACAGAACTCCACATCAAAGAGAAGCCTGTTCTCCGAAACACTATGGTTCGTTGTAAATGAACATATTGCTACCAGCATAAGCAAAGGGTTGTAAACTTTACAGTACAAGCAGAACCTGGCTTCACACTCTTGAAAGATAGGCGTACTGCAGGGAAAAGTAAGTTGTCCGGTATTTCGGCATCAGAAGCAGCAAGCTCAACTGTTGCAAAACGATTTGCATGGGGAGCAAACACAATACTGACTCATGAAGCGGATCAACCGTGAGCACGACCCTTTCGGAGATACTGCAGGTGGTCTTCTAACAGTGCCCCCCAAGAATGTGTTGCAAAATTCAAACTGAGGTGTAGACAACCACAACCACAACACGACATACGCAGAGAATTGGACCACACCGAATGTGGCTTTATTTTAATTTTCACAGGAACCAACAAAGCACAAAATGTTGGAGTAACACTTTTACCGCTGCGTGTTTTCAAGGGAAATTTTAGGATAGAGCCGAAAGCTGTAACAGAGCACTCAGGTATGAAACTGAAAAGGAAGAACGGCGCAACGCCTGCAGAAACGCAAAAATATTAGGTCAACCCATTAACGACAGTTCGCAAACCTGTATTACGCGGTAAGCTCAGCTTGCAGTCTCCTAAGTTTGCTTCTCATAGGTTGAGCAACAAATTTGGTGGGTGTACCTTATGGAGCAGCATTGCATCACTTCACTTCTATCTTCCTAGTCACCTACTAAATTCGCTGCTATATTGTTGGCGCACCTATGTGCATAAAAATATGTGTATATAAAGTGCACCTTAGAGTCATCGCGAAGATATGTTCTTAGATCTCCGTTCTCCATAAAATCTGCAACTAATATCGGAATATCTCCATCCGTCAAACGCTAAACCAACCAACTGCATCAAGTGAGGATGATCAAACGATTCATCGTCAGTCCTAAAAGACCACCACTTATTATTTAGTATAATATCACTTGGAAAATGCTCATTCCCCAACAAAGAGGGAAGGGGAATAAAATAGTATGGCACTTCATTACAAATGTTCGATGTTGGCGAAAACATGCCTTAATTCAGCATTTGAATTATGCTATGTCGAAAGAGAGCCAGCCTCTCAGAAAAATGAGCCGAACATATTCGCTAATGCGATTATTGCAGTATGGAAGGAAATTTCATGCATCAGATATTTCGACTTAGGCCGATGTCAGACTTTGCGAATCGCGCGATTCGCTAGCGTCTGCGGTCGCGTCGCGCCAGTGAATCACTCAATTGGCTGGTACCGCAACGCGACCGCGGACGCTAGCGAATCGCGCGAATCGCTGGATCCGAGCGTTGCGCCAGCGAATCGAACGTTGCACCAGCGACTCAATAGTGGCGGGACCCAACGTTCAAAGGAAGCCCGCCACTTTCAACAGTGTCACGTGACAGTGGACCCTTTTTGAAAGTGGCGGGACTTGACAGTGGACACTGTTTGAAAGTGGCGGGCTTCCTTTTGAACGTTGGGTCCCGCCACTATTGAGTCGCTGGTACCTAGTTCGACTCGCTGGTGCATCGTTCGATTCGCTGGTGCAACGTTCGATTCGCTGGCGCAACGCTCGGATCCAGCGATTCGCTAGCGAATCGCTCGATTCGCAAACTATGACATCGGCCTAACAAGAAATGTCCACAGGTCGCCGTGGTCATTCAATGTGAGATGTATACTCCTAAGTGCGTCTATCAAATCTGCTAAATGATCTTGTGAACGGAAATACAAAGGCGTTTCTTCCTGCGCAGTTCAATACATAAAGCAATCGAAATGTGCAGCGGATGTGAGACGGTGGCGCAGTTGGTAGCGGTACAAAATTGCGGACAAGATGTCACGGGATCGATTCCGCCTGGTACAGAGCTTTATCTATCTTACTTCATCGATTATCTTAGATTGTCTATGTCAACGCGCGCAACTCCTTACATGTCCGGGGAGTATTGAACCTGAGCCGAAAATTTCCCGTGAAATCCTTCGTGCAACCATTAAAGCACACCTAAAATGTGCGACCTAATTCGTGGCAAGCCCGCCATATCTAACAATCCTGCAGCCGGATCAAGCCTTTCGGGCTGCCATTACTGTTCTGCATTATTCATGGCACCCCCGTAAGTTGTCGTGACACATTGGATGGAGGGCTTGGTGTAATCTTTCATTTGCTCTGCATGCCACATGTAACCATAGGAAACGTGGAACTATGTGGGAGATTTGTGGGGCTACAATATACCGGGGGAGGGGGGGGGGCAAAGAAAAGTCACTTCACTCATGGCGCACATCATCAAACTTTTCGCTGCGCAGGATGCCGCTCTTGATAGAAATTTTACGGCTAAATAACGGCTAAATATTATTGAATTAAGTAGTAGGTAGCTTCCTAGAGACAGTAGCTCTAAGTAAGCGAGATCACTTT